CCATCCGGATGACTGTATGTGCGATGATTGCATGGTTGATCGCTATAACATGTGTCGCAAGCATACGCAAAATCAAAAACGTCAGAGTGCTGGAGCTGATCCGGACTTCAGTTCGTCTTCAAATACTAATGGAAAAAAGAAAACACGCAAGAGGGCTCCCAAGAAGAAAAAAGCGAGAGCTCAGGTTAGTTATTTATTGCGTTCGCGTCATCTTTGTTTTCAAGCTACATCCAAAGCTGTCCGTGCCAGCTCCATGCCAACGTAGTTCCAGCGCCGTGCTGTCGCTACCGTAACGTAGATTGGTCAATACGAGGAGCGTCCATGTGCATTCGTGCACAGCGGCTGACACAGCACTGACACTGACACGGCGCTGGAACGGCGCTGACACTTGCTGCATTGGGCGACTCTGAACGCTGTCTTGGTTTCGGTATTAGAACAGTGGCTAACGCAGCAGTAGATTTTTCAGTTGTTTTCTAATTTTTCAAAGTTCAACAAATATGGAAACTTTGCCATTAAATTAATTTTGTTTAGAGAAAATTTGATCTCTGCGAAACTCCCTCTGATATGTTTACTGAGATAATAGAGGTCAGTTCTCTCTGGTATATTTTTTGTGGTTGCACTCCGCTTTATAGCTTCCGGAAGGTGTTGATCCGCAAGACGTTAGTCTCTACGAATGCATCAGCAATGAAGAAGCTAGTCGTGAAATCGTCAAAGGGGTAATGTTTATAGTTTTGACAATATTCAATGTAAAAGCTGCTGTGCTAAATGCAAACTATTACCGTAATCGGCTTACGAACCGAGTGATGGATAGCGGATGCGAATTCACTTCACCACAGGAAGCACAAAGTCACGCTGATTTGACATAGACGTCGCACAATTCTTGAAAAGCGTTGCCGGTCTTCTAAGATTGCTTACACTGAACTAAATTCGAGAATGTCTTACTTAGAAGATTAAACTTCAGTCAATGAACTTGTTTGCCTGAGTTTGCGTCGCTGTACTGTACATCACACAAACATCCGATCTGCGTCTAAATAGATTTGAGCTATTCGAGATGTAATTCCGCTGCCTATCTTTGAGATTGCCCAAGTTCGACATCTAAGTAAGCACCCGAATCGTGGACCGACTTGCAAGTAATTTTTTGGTTGTCTTTCTTAGAGCAACAATGACTGAGTTGAAAAAAAGGCGGCGCAAACTATCTTGCGTTATTAGGTTGACAAGTAAGTTTCATAGATCGTAAAATTCATTTCATCATCTTTCGAC